CCCCAAAACCCCAAAACCCCAAAACCCCAAAACCCCAATCAGAATATTTTCATTCTAAGATTTGAAAAAGCTGCTAAAATCAGATTATTAATAATATAAGATATCGTAAAACTTAAAATGGGAGGAAAAGAAGGTAAAGAAGCTTCAGCAGATGCAACTCATGCATTTTTCAATTCAGAGGCGTATCCAATATTATTCAACTTAAAACATATTTCAATAGTTACAGAGCAAGTGGATGTGTTGATGTTGACAGACTGAAGAAGGAATTAGTTAGTCCAGAGAAGTACTGCTATTTCCAGGTAAGAATATCTTATCTCAGCTTTGTAGATGGTGCTTGAGAAAAACTATGAGGATAAAGACCTTAAAACTATAAAAACGCATAAACAGTATAAACAGATCTTTAGATAGGGAGTTCCTGATAAAAGTAGGAGAGAAGCATTATTACAGCTGTTCAATCTCAATCCTCTCACATGTGAAACTAGATACCAGACAATAGTGAAGATGGCTGGGGATGAGTTTGTAGAGCACACTAAGAGAGCAGGTATGGCAGCAAAGACACTAGAATATCACTGCTTGAATGAAAAAGGTCTCGAGGAGCTAGAAATCATATTAGCTTTGTTATTCAAAGAGAGACATATCAAACATTCTCCATTGATGATTCCAGTGGCTAGTCTCTTACTTATTTACTTAAAACCAGCAGAAGTCTATCATCTTATCGCAGAACTCATTACATAATCATCAGAGACTCTTAAATCACCAGAGTAATCTCAGCTCATTAGATGGCATTTTACTTTGGAAAAGCAGCAATATTTCAAATTGTTAAGTACATTCGTTAAAAGTTACATGAGCACTACTCTAAGAGGTAAAAGATCTGTTCTTCTTCACATGAATAAAATTGGTTTCGATTTCAGCAAGTATGTAGACACCTGCTTTAAATCATCTTTGACATATTTCTTGGCTCTACCAATCGCAGTTGAAGTCCTTATGATGTTCATGATTGAGGGTGTGAAGATAATGTTCAGATATACCTATTCAGTTATGAAGTGCCACAAAACATTTATAAAAAAGTGCAATAGTCCAGGAGAGCTTTTGGAATTGCTAAAAAACGAGGCTAGAGAGAAAACAGTTCCTTCTAAAATTCATAAAAGAGCTTTTAAGTATCCATTGAAGAGAAAGAACTATGACTTTAAAAAAGCCTAGATAGACAAATATACTGATCCTAACTCTCAAATTGGTGCATCCGAGTACACTGATTATATCCCAAATTGTCCTTTGAATTCTACTATTCTAAAATTTGAAGAATTTGCCAAAATGTGGCATTTCCTACCGGACTATGTTAAGATCAGAATCCCAGAATTACTTTACTGTGCCTAAACTGATGGTTTCAACTTGCAAAGTTTGTACAGAAAGATGTAGCCATATAAAAACGAATATAAATTCACACTCTTAATTATTCAGACTAAAAAGGATGAAGTTTTCGGTGCTTTTATAGATGATGTATTTAGAAAGTACTTAAAGGGATATATCGGATCCAGTGATTGCTTTGTGTTCTCACTGAAGCCGGAAGTTAAGTGCTTCTATGATGCGAATGACAATCAGAGATATCTTCTCGGAGAATAAGACTACTTCTAAATTGGAGGAGAGGGGTAAGCAAACCTTATTTTATTAAATTTCTTATTAATTGTTATAGTGATGGTCCAGCTATATGGGTAAATGATACTTTGGAAAGAGGATAGACAAACAGCTCTGGCACATTTGGGAATTAACTATTGAACTGCGGAATCAAAGGCAGAGATGAACAATATGATATTCATAACTTTGAGCTCTACATTCTCTGAGCAATCAAGAATCTTTAAAATTTATCAATTGCCAGAATGAATAAGAGATCAAAATCATACAAGCCACTATATTATTTCATTTTATAATTATTCAATCCTTTTCTCAAAATCTTATTAAAGGGGTTTTGGGGTTTTGGGGTTTTGGGG